TCTCCACGTTTTCCCTTCATGACCTCTTGAGGTATAGTACATGAGAATCACGCCCTATTTTGATAGACTCCCATAAAACGTATAGTAATAGAGATTTTACTATCCTAAAAGCAAAACTACGTGATTGTAGAAACTTTAGCCGTTTTAGATCAATTTGACAAACAAAACTTTGCAAATATTGATTGCTTGTAATAAATGTCGAAATTATCCTTCGAAACATAAAAAGCCTTGGCGAAAATTACTTGTTTACTTATCCTTCTCTTCACTTACCCTGATTAATATAACGAAACCTTGTCCAGCAAACATTCACATTATTTTTTCTAGTGTAATCCAAATCCTAGTTCGTTTTATTTTTACGATTTCTAATCAAAATACAAAATCTCTATCGTGCATGAAAATTATTCATCACCTATCATTAGTTTATAAAAAAAATCTTTTGCAGTGGTGTTTTTTCATAATTTACAGAAGATGTGGGAATAAAAGATCAATAAATTAACACGGATCAGAGGATCTTGAAGAGCTTCAGGTTTGCCAATCATATTTCTAAAAAACAGTTCCCACAAATTTCCTATAGTCTGAGTGCTTAGGACCTAAAATGAGATGAAGTTCGCACTTTTGAGTAAAGTTATTGAAATTGGCAATATGCTCTTTGACCCTACCTCTGAAAGTTCCGACGTGGCGCCACACTTATTTGCCCCTGGAAACATGCCCTTAACTATTGCTCCTAGAGTAAAAATGAATAAGACCTTTTTTGTTAGAACGAAAAACCTAAAAATCGACCCTTTCCACCCTCCTCCCGCCTAACGCAAAAGGGCCTTGGGTGGGGACTTTTGGTATGTTACCCTACAACTTAAAACGATAATCCGTCTTCGTTTTCTGGCCTAATGAATGTTTCTAATATAAGATTTAGATCTTAGAATGTTAAAGAAGTTTCGATAGTTCGTAAGAAGTTTTTCGAGAGTTCCTTTCTCGAGAAATGTTAATGTTTGTAAAAAGATTCTTGACTTTTCAGAAAAATTTATAGTAAATTGCTAGCAAGATTCACAAAAAACTTCCCCAAAGACATTTCTAAATAGCTCCTAAGAATATCTCCAAGAAAATTCTCAGCAAGTTTTTCAAGAATATTTGTACACTCAGTTGGCTTCTTAATATATTTGAAACATTCTGAAAACGTTTATGGTTTCTTGTAAGATTTTCTAGAACCTTTATGCTTTTATTCAAAGGACAATTCTGATCTCTAGCGGGTTTAAAGATTTCCATTAACTGACGGGAGATTTCTAAAAGTTAATAACAAATTTTTAGGAAATCCCCATCCCTACAGTTCTTCTTTCTCTTCGCATATCCTGCATTTTCTTCTCGTCTCCATTTGTCTTTCCTTCTCCACATCCGCATCTGAATCTCGCTATTGTTTTAATATTTTTCTTCCTTCCCACAAACACTCTCACATTAGTTCGTTGTAACTACTACTTCCGCGTGCGTTCTCCACCTTCTGCTGTTGTATTTGAACATCCAGTCTTCAAACCCCAGCTCATTTTCCATCTTTTCTCAAGTCAAGTTCACCTGTTTCCGCGGCTCAACCCAAAAACGACTCAATCAACAGGTTTTTGATAACCACGTTTTTTCCGTCGAGGTACAGAGCCAAATGCGCAGATCTCAAGGTCAAAGTGGGCTAGAACCGGCCTATCTACTCAGGACGGGTAAAGACAGCAATCATTTTCTCATTGTTGTACCTTGTCTGGCAAGCACTTCACTCGACCCATGCAGGAACCTAATCTGACGAAAGATTCCTTTTCACACTGGACTCCAACAGTCTGGCAACTTCTGTTTTCTGGTTTACAAATAAAATATTTGACCAAATGAACACGGGTTAACCAGGCGCAACAACCATTCTTTATGCCTGGAATCAGAAAAAAATACCTACACCGTTTTTTTCGAAGCGTCATATGCATATTTCAGTAACGAATTGACATAAAACATGCTTGATGTGTTTGTTACTTATTAATAAATTATTAATAACCAACTGATTTTTTGTTCTATCGAGAATTTTCACAGAGGAAAAACTTAACCGTCTCGTCGAACCCAACCTACTCGCGAAGATTCAGCCTGTTATTAATCACTGAAAAAGCCAAGGCGCCAGCTGCTGGACTATAAAATAAAACAAGTATAAATTGTGCACAACTCTTGTGCAGATAAAGCGCATTTTTTTTTACCGAAATAATTTTTGTTTTGACATCACCAATGGATATATTTCTTGGAGATGTCTCAATCGCCCTTTGTGAGTACCCTCTTCCAATAATCCGTTCTTGAGGTAACAGGGAATATACCCGACCACGATAAGAGGTCGAGGCGGAGGGCTATGGTTGGTAGAAATGAATTCCTTTCGTTGAGACCTTTCATTAGAGTACCATGAAGGATAAAACTAGTTCCACCCTCCACCCAGAAAGAAGGGCAGTAGTTAGTAGAAAACGGTTCGTTTCATTGGGACTTTAATTAGAATACAATGAGAGATGAAATTAATTTTTAACTCCCTCCCCCCCCCCCCCCCCCCCCCTCAGGCCCAGTCACTGATCTCGAAAAAGAGTCGCACGGGAAAGTTATAGTTTGTACAAACCAATTTATTTCGATGAGACCTTTCATTACAATAACATGAAGGGTAGAACATGTGTTTATCCCCCCCCACCCCCCATTTTCTAAAGTTTAACTTAGCACCACTAAAGGCATGCGTATTCAAAATTTGAGACCAATTGGTTGTCGTATGTAAAAGCTATGCACGTGTTACTTTCAAAAACAGCATCTCAGGAAATAATTCGTGGGAGGGGGCCTCCTTTTAGACAGTGAAATTTGATGGCCGTCTTGCACACCTTCAAGGTATAGGTTACCTACTGCAAAAAATTCCAGGGCTCTAGGACCATTCCCCTAGAAGTAGTTCAAAACGGTAGAAGTGGGTCCGGACAGACGGACGGACGGACAAAACGTAAACAATAGCGCATTTTTTTTGATTCTTAAAAAATGCCCTAAAAAATGAAACGATTTATAAGCTAGTCGTAAGGATGTTTTTAGAAACAAACTTCCCAAGACAACTTGCATGCATATTTGCTTTTATTAAATTTTTTTGGAAGATTTAGAACAATAGGGATTATAATTTATTTCGTAATATTATTGGAAAAACTGCAAAACGCATTAATCATTGAACAACAATTTGTTTTGGTCATCTAACATCTTACGATTTTGAATGAGTGAATGTTCAAAAAAGCCATTTTTCCTTGGGAGAAAGCCTTATTCTTTTCCAAAAACTGTTTTTTAAATATTGAAATTGAATTCTATTATAATACCCCTTACCCTGCAGAAAGTCACAATACAATAATTAACAAGTGTATACTCGTGTCTTTTCTCTTTTGCGAAGTCGACATGTAGCGTACATTAAAAAATAGTAGGTAAAATTTATTTATTGTTAGATTGTTATTGTAGATTGAGGAAAATTTTTAAAATGCAACGGAACATCAAACTGATTTCGATGGTGATTTCTGGAACATCCCCGATATGCAGCGCAAATGCCAAATTGAATAAATTGTCATTTATTAACAGCATTAGGATGGAGCTATTTAAAATGGGTCTGGCGACTGCAGCTAAATAAAAAACAGATAAACGCCCTTTATTCAATAATACTTTATAAAAATGTACAAAAACGATTTATATAATGAAAACTTCACGAATCATTAAGCTATGACCTAAATTAACGAGGGTAATACTTTAGGGTGGCAACGTTGGGTAAATACTCTAGTATACATTTAGTTCAACACGATACGCGTAATAGGGGGACGTAATACGTAAGGGCAATTTTGAATTATTCATATCTCCGTATGGCATCTACTCTATAAGAGAGCAACTCTATTCTATCTCATCAATTGCTCTTTTTTATGTATTCGTTTTTGGTTTAGTGTTTCATTCCGTTCGAACAAAAGGGATTTTTGCCAGCTTTACGTATGGAATTAACGTTAATTATCGAATGACGGACACCTGCTCTTTCCAGATTTTCCTACCATTGTTTCAATGCAATCCGCAGCGATTGTTTTTAAAATGAGAAAAGCTTGATTTGATTTTTATTTACGTTGTTTGTTGTGCCTGTGTGAATAACTTAATTGGATTTTTGATTGAAAATTGGAGAATCGCAATTATTCATGGGCTGTTTTTTGGGCAATTTTCCCGCATTAGTTTATTTAAGACCTTGGAAGTGAATAAATGTTATATTGTCAAGGGGAACGAAGGCGCAGTGAAATATTGGGCGTACACGTGACAAGTGGAAAGCTCTAATAGAAATAAAATCAACTGACAGGTCAATGTACGTGTAACAGTTGGAAAATGAACCAATTGCCTCTTAGACTTAAATTCGAGAGAAAAAACTAAATAACTATTGTCGTCGACTAAAGCAAATGCGAAGGGTGGAGAGCAGATTGTCACATTAATTGAAGGGGCAGGATTGTTGTGCGTACTCTGGAGACTTCAGTCAATTTACACTTTGCACAACACGACACAGCTCATTGCACATTTGGTTACGCTTCGGATACAGGTTTATGACTACAAATCTGGAGCAGGAACGTATTAAGGATGAAAAAATTACCAGTTCAATTGCAATGGACATTTTCGTAACTAGGGGCTCTAAAATTGAAGGCAGATGTTACGAACTGACGGCGTTGCTTTCAGTTGGAAATAGGCAGCTTCATTTATTTCCTAAAGTCGATAAATAGACCGAAACGGCATTATTCAATCCGCTCCTGTGCTCCGGAGGGATGTTAGTAAAGCGTGCGGTGTATTCACGACAAGTTTGTAGTAATAGTGAAATGTACAAATCGCGGGGACACAATGATGTATGACCTCTACACCCTACATTGTGTTGTATTCACGTCTACATTTTATTCAATTCTAAAACAGTCATTCATCATTATATACATCTAACTAATCTCTTTTATTGTTTTAATGTCTAATAAACCCGTTTGTTACAGATCCCATTAAATTTGGAGTAAACAGACTAATGGAGAAATCATCCCCGCAACCGGAAGATGTTCCAAACTTAAACAACAATAACACAAAATTTTACGAAGTAAGCGACGACCTCGGTGGAAATCCACACAGCGGGGACGAGATGCTTTCACCGGGCCCCAACCAGGAAAACAACTGGGACACGTCACCACCTAGACCATCTCCTAGCACATCGCCAGAATTAGAAGTCGACTCCCCCGTACATTCGAGGACGCCGTCACCTTTACCATCACAAGTGACCGAAATTTCCAAAAGTCCGCTGAAAAAATCCGAAGCATTCTCCGTCAGTGCATTACTCCGACCAGATCGGCCCAAAAGCAAATTAGACTCTTATTATCAGGAAACAATATCCGTAACACGATCATACTTATACCCCCCATTCGTCGACTTGCTACGCGACGCGCAATTAAAAACCGCGCAGGAATACAGCAACCACTTTTTACCTCGCCATTTCGTTCATCCCGGAATGATACCTTCCGGAATATATCCGCCTAAGGAAGGCGAGGAAAGGCAATTTTTGCCGACCCCCACGTCGCTGTATTTTAGTGCAGTCGCGGCCGCAATGGCAAATGGACAATCGGGCGTGCAACCGGGACAATATCCTTCACCGCACTCTGAAGAATTCTACAGGTTAAGGCATCATTTTATGAATAATTCAGCCGGGATTCATCCGCATCACCATCATTTGCTTATGAGGCCCGGAATGATGCCCCTAGGTGATGTTTATTCATGTATAAAATGTGAAAAAATGTTTTCTACCCCTCACGGACTTGAGGTTCACGCGAGAAGATCGCATAACGGCAAGAGGCCGTTTGCTTGTGAACTTTGCAATAAAACTTTTGGACATGAAATCAGTTTAAGTCAACACAGGTAAATCACTCATTAGATTTTAATATTGTAACGTATTGGTGGGTATATTGTACAATTTTATACGTGCACATTGCACAAACACTGTTCTCATGGGGAGAAATTTCAAGCAACATAAATGGAACGATAGGTACAGCGAAAGCCACTTAACATCGTTTAAACGTTCTCTTAACACATTTAAAACTGGCAAAAATCACTTGATCGCAGAAGGCCTAAAAGGTTCAGTTTTCATTAGTGTACGCGTTTTAAACAAAAATGAGGGACGTCTCAATATTTTCACGCTTACTTAACCCCCCCCCCCCCCTCCATATCTGTTTCAAATTTTCCTCATGGCGCACCTTCATCGCTTTTACCATTTCACTCGCGTTTCCTTTTCGTCCCATTTACACTTCCTTTGGGTCACAAACATGACCCATTGAAGAGTCTTTGTCCATTATTTCTTATATCCAACATTTCCCCGGCCACATTTGCGATAACTTCTTCCTTTTCTGCTTACCCCCTGCACATTTCATCACCTTTCCTACATACCTTCTTAACGTCTTCTTCAAAATGTTCTCACGCGTTCCTTATATCCCCTTTAAACACCCCTCAGTTGCTTCACATCCACCTCGTTTTTTCTTCACAGCTCATACCACCATCACTACACTTCTGTTACGTCTTCTCCGCGTGTTCTTCACATCTTCATCGCGTCTCTTTTCGCGTTGTGGGTTCCACAACCGCTGCTCTACACCTTCTATACTCTTCACGCCTCTTTTCAGACTTCCTCGAGATTTCGTTACTGCTCCTGTACCCTTCTTCTACGCCTATTACACAACGTTTTTACGTATCTTTCAATACTTCTTTACTTTTATTACCATCCTACCTCTTTTACGTCTTCTGTGCTGGTTCTTTGCGCCTTCTTCCGATCTCCTTCACAACTCTTTTAAATATTCTTCAAGCTTCACTTGTTTACTCCTCGCTCCATATTTGCTTCACAACTCATTGCGTCTACTTTACGCCTCCTTCGCATTTCATTTTTACTGTCTTCACACTTTGTCATGCCCCCTTTGCATTTTCTCCATTCCATCTCATTCTTGCATAAAACCATCATTGAACCTCCTTTTTCTTGTCTTTTTGGTGTCACTTCCAATCCGTCCTCTGTTCGCCTTTTCTTTTTCACTCCCCTCCCATTTCACTTATTTTACAGCCTCTTCACGTTTTATTCAAGCCTCACTCACACCTCTGTTTCAACTATTACGCCACAGTTTATACATCTATGGTCTTTTCTGCACGCCTACTTCACATTTTCCTTATATCTCATTCGTGCCATTTTACATCACGTTATGTTGCTATTCTTTTAATTACGCATTTCGTCACTTCTCTACCATCTTTTTCATTTCACAGTTTCTTCGGGCCATTTTGAGATCTTTTCAGAGCAGTCACGCCCCACGAAAACCTCTTCGCGCGTTGATCTCGTACACTCCCTCCCTCTGTTAACTGCTTTCCATCACCTATTTCCTGTTTTTCTTACGCCTCGTCCATATATATTCGTTGCGTTTTCTTCATTTTTTGACGTCTTGTTTTAGCCCTTTCGCGCCTTGTTCGTTTCCTTCTTCATGTCTTCGTTACCACTATTTCATATCTGTACCCCCCTCCCTCACTTTATTCTGTCATTATGTCCATCCTAGTTTTCTTTACTTCAACTTCACTCCTCCCGCAACCTTTCTCCATTTCACGTTTCACTCTTATATCGCGTCTTCTTTTAGTCTTCTACATCATTTTTTATATCTGCATATCCCCCCTCCCTTCTTCTTTTATTTCGCCACCCGCTCTTAATCTCTGTTCGGTTCCAGCCTTCTTCGTATTTACGTCCTCGTTGCGCGTGTTCACATTAAGGTTTTTTCGCCTTTCTGTTGCACCCATTCCCCCAAACTTGATTTATTTCCATCTTGCCACTGCCACTGCTTTTTTGTGTCTAGTTCAGGTTTACCACAACTTCTGCACACCTCTTTCGAGTTTCTTCGTCTCCCCCCCCCCCCTCGCTTCACATTTCGTGATGCTTTATATCGCCATCGCGCATTTGTTCACTTCTCCCAGACACCAGTTTTACATTACACTTACATATGCCATCTTTATATACATCCTTTACGTCTTCTTCACAACTTCTTCACGTCTCATTCGTACCCCTTTTCACATCTATTTCAAGCATTTCTCGTTATTCTGTTCCATCTGCCCACATCTCGCCTAGCTTGCTTTATACTTTCATACGTCTTTCCTACATCTCCTTCACGCCTGCCTCACATTTTTTCTGTACAACTTCTACGCATATCCTGCAAACTTGTTTCAAGCCTCCTGCAATCCATTTAACGCTTCCTTCTAGCTGAAGCTTTTATCATTACTTCTTCTCGCATACTTAACCTCTTTGTAGTCCCCTTCACGCCTTGTTCTATCTTTCTACACATTTTATTTCACCCCAGCCACGATCACTTTTTGCTGGCCATACATCTACCTCACTCTTTATTTACGCCTCCCTCGCGTCTGCTTTACATCGCCCTTACTCCTTCTACACGTCTCGGTTACGTTTACTCTACGCCTTCTTGTCACTCCTTTATCTGTTATTCGCATCACCGCCAAGCAGTTATCACTAATGATTTAGTTTCTTCCAATTTGTATCACGTGCAGATGCCAAGGTAATAAGCGGGGATTCATTATAAGGATCGAAATGGGGATTAATTTTCTTGTTGCTGACCAGTGTTTCTATTTGTCTTCCCAATATTCACTCCAAGATAAGGATGTCTATCATACGGATCTTCGAAACCATATGAGATACGGCGATGGTCAAATTAGAGAACAATTAAAGATGCTTTAGAGAAAAAAACAAAAAATTCCGATTACTTCCGAAGATTGACAGAAAAACCGAAATTTGCCGAAAGAACACTTTCTCATTACCACTTTTTGAGCACTACAAACCACCGTTGAGAGATTTTTAATACAACGTTTCGTTTTGGAGAAAACATATTTAACTTTAGTTTTTTTATGACCCGCAAAAAACTACATACTGTATTAAGTAGCATTTTCATTACGAATACAACGATGTACACACACAAACAAAAAACAAAAGTTGGCAACTCTGTTGGTTTCAACAGGATGGTGCTTCTGCGCATAACAGCCTAACCTTTCGAGAATACCTATCGGAAAAACATTTTATTTTCCAGGAAATGTGTTCGATAGGTATTTTCGCATGATTAGGGCGTTGTGAGCGGGTGCACCATCTTGTTGAAATCAACAATTTTGAACTTTTGCTTTTTGCGTGTGCCATATATCGTTGCATTCGTAAAAAATAATGCGATACAGTGTGTACTTTTTTCCGGGCCCTATAACAAATAATGGTGATTATGGTTTCCCCGAGGCGAAACGTTGTATTTTCAAGGGTGTCTTGTAGAGCGTAGAAAGTGGCAAAGGGAAGGTGTTTTTTTTTGTTTCTATTCAAGTAACCAGAAAAACCCAAAAAAGAAAACCAAATTTCGGTTATTATGGCGTATATTCGGAAGCAATCGGAATTTTCTAGTTTTCTTTAAAGCATGATAATAACTCTTTAATTGCACACATTTTCCCCAGTTTGCAGTTACTAGTTCGAGTATCCCAGTTAATACAATTTCGGTTTTTTTTCAGAGCTGTGCACAACGTCGAAAAGGTTTTTGAATGCAAACAATGTGGAAAATCGTTTAAACGTTCTTCTACGTTATCGACGCACCTTCTGATACATTCCGACACAAGACCCTACCCGTGCCAGTACTGCGGAAAGAGGTTTCACCAAAAATCAGACATGAAGAAACACACGTATATACATACAGGTGAGTGCCTTTTTAGGCTTTCGATCTAGTCTGTGATGCTACATATACAATCTAATTTTTTATATGGGAGTATCTTGTTACATTTTGTGCAAATAAATCAATGCTGTTCAACATGATTGCAACTAAAGTATTAAGCTTGATAAAGAAGTAACTAAAATTTCTGCCCCATTCCAAAAACCTGATAGTTTTCCACTGAAGGAAATGGAGATTATAAGAGACGATCACATACAGATGAAATTCGGAAAAGAAATGCGTACCAATTTTTCTCTAAAAGTCTAGAAATTTAAGCGCCACTAAATAAGTTTTTTATTCATCCCAAATACGAGATGGTTCAAACAATACATTAATTTTTTTAAACTTTGCAAATGTGTATGGACGAAAATATTTAACCATTTAATTTTGTTACTGATGTTGTTTAGAGGCACGCCACCCCCAATGATACAATGCAAATCCCTAGTCATTTTTAATTAACAACTAATAAATTCAGGATGCAACATGATAAGGTGATTAATCGTGTACAATAACTGAGTAGCCATTCCTCAAAACGCTGTTCTTTTCAATGAAGCATTTGCTACATCTTACTAAAAAACCGATTTCGTTGCCGATGTTAAGTATATAATAACTCCTTGCCCAGCTCCAGAAGGTCGTTTGATTCTTCCTCTGTGCCCATAAAATTCTTGGATGGTTCTTAGGTGTTGGTCAAAGTTAGCTCGGTTTTCCTGATGGGTCACAAATTTCTCCAACCAAATTGCTTTGAATGCTCTATGCCACAACGTGTTTTGTCAGTAAAAAATGCTTTCCAACTCGTTTGTATATATCTTTTAAAGGGCGTCGGCTCCTTTTGATTTCACTTAGGTACATTAAAATAAACCTGTTCTCCAATAGTAGTAACAAAACGTTTGGAATAGGATAGGATTTAATTTGCAAATTCAACGTATATTTGCCCAAAGGTTACGTTTTCACAAAGATAAAAAGAATAGCATCAGAGAAATTAAAAAGTGAGAGGGTAGCATGTAAGGATTGTAAGATCTTAAGTGGAGTACGGTTAAGGGTTTTCATAAACGACAGCATTAAGTTTAGAAACAATGAGCTGAGCCCGGAGTTTCATATAAACCGCAAGGTTGCTGAGAGCATGAAATTATTACCCTCCGCCTTGTCTAATTAGTAAATAATTTACTGGTAAGCCACGCCGGCAATTAATAACGCCCGTTACCAGAAAGGCGCGAGAGAACTTAGAAGGGTTAAGGCGAATACAATATTGATGCGGACTAAGATATTTCATCGTATACATTTAATGAAAAATTAAGATTTATTACTATTTTAAAATGTTCGCTTATATAAACTTCCACTCGCGGGAACGTCACGAATCTTAAATTTTTCACGTCAAATAAGTACACCTTTTTTCCTTAGCGGAAAAAATTGAAATGCCGCATCACTCCTTGTTGCCAAATCAATTAACGTCTCTGCAGAGTTTCTTTAATTAGATTTTTTTGTAATTAAGAAAAACTCCATTTTTAAAATTGCTCGGGAGCTGGCATTTCTCGAAGGTTAATTTTGATTGTGTCTGAGAAAACAGGTTTCCTTTGCAGGGAGAAGATTCGCTTCGTATTCTGTTTTTTTAATTGCGAAAGCCCTGCATGCGAAGTGTCACTTTTTTCTCCGACGTCGTCCCTGGCCAATTACAGACGCTGCCGTCGCACTTTCATTTGGTATCGCGTCTCGACGGATTTTTATATCACTAATTACTTTCGTGGCACGTACTATGGTCGAAGTGAAATTAACCTTTTCCCTTCTTACACAAGATAGAAAACTCTGCATTTTTTATCGTGCCTAATACATTTCGAATGATTACTGAGAATAATTACGACGTCAATTCAAAAGGCATTTATCGTAGTAGTAGTGTGAGAGTTATTGTATCACAAACATGTTCATTTAGAAAAACTCCATAAGGAAATGATTGCGATTATTGTTCATAAGGACTAAACATATTTAAGAAAATCGAATTACAAATCTCAAAATATAAAATCATAGAGGTCGCTTGCATCCCAATGAGTGTATTAGCAATTGACGTATGGTATAAGCACGATCGCAATTATTAAGGGTTAGGGCAATAAGTTCTAACGTCGCGTCAATAGAATCTCGTTTGGAGATAATAATACGACTTAGTGCCGCATTTAGAGGGCGCGATTTTAGGGGTGCAAATTTAAAAAAATTAAATTACTAATCGTTTATTAAAAGATTGCCAGGTGTGCAGTGAGATGTGCAAGACACAAGCAAGAACCTCTTAACAACAAGCACATTATTGGTACCTTTTATAATATTTTTTCAGGATAGCCAACTCCAAAATTTTCATAGATACACATCGAGTCCAGGTTGCAGTTATACCAACATTATAACGGCAAGCTCGTTATTTCGAACATTTAGTTTAAGTTGTTAGATTTGCTAACCTCTTTGTGTATCATTTTCACTTTCGTAGTGCATCTATCCAACACGTTTTTGATAAACAACATGCTAACCATATATTTTAAAAAATGAAAAAAAGGTTTTCGCCTTAAGGCGATTAACTTTGGCGTATTTTCCATATATTGATCAGTACTTCCTCGAAAATTCATGTAACGGGCTATTTATGTGTACAAAGGAAAATAAGTTATGGCATAAATATTCTTATAAATAAAAAACTTGCATTGCGCAGTCTACGCATGCGCACCCCTAATGTTCAAATATGCGATATGTTTGCCTTTAATAGAAGAATCTTTGGTTAAAGTTTCAAAAAATATCAATATAGATAAGTATGATGACATTGTGCAGTTTCTGATTTTTAAAATGTGAGATATAAGTAATTGTCTTTACTAAAAAAAATTTCAAAAAAAATATTGCGCAGTCTTCACATGCGCACACTAATCGTCGATTTCTTGGTTGAGGTGCCAGAGTTATAAGCTACCGAATGCAAAAAGAACGAATTAAATATCTTGAAAGATGTAACGGGCGGACAGACGGAGAAAGTGGCCATAATAGCGCCTTCCAACATGAAGATAGGTTGGAAAATGCGCTAAATGATAACTTTGGGTTCGAAAAAGAACTTTTCTCTACAATTTGGCGTCTCGGCTTCTTTTTTCTCCGAAATTTTCTTATGGAAAGTGTGTTTTTTTTGTACGAGAAGAGGGAACACTTACCTGAAAGGGAAATAAGTCAGACTAAGAGATTCTTGTTCTGGTCTTAATAAGCTAAAGAAATAAAACAATTGGCAGGGACAGAACATAAACAATAATTGATGTCACAATCGAGGGCGATTTAATAAATGATCTCCAAAATATTACAAATAAAACACTGCTCACAGCTAGATCTGAAATGCCAAAGTTTAAATCAATTTTTTAGCAAGAAGGAGATCAACACGTAGTCAAAGGAATTTATGTACCTAATCAAACGATATATTAGTATATGTTGCATGTGGTTCTATCAAGGAAACGACAAAAATAAAAAAATTACCTTTGAACTTCAAGTCGCAATCTTTTGAGATCAGAAGGTCTCTTTCTGCCCTTATCTGTAACAGATGAAAGCACAAACACACAAGGGGAATAGTGAATAACGCACAAAATATTGCGGAAAAATAATGTATAACGTCGAACACTCTTGTAAATCGTATACTAAAACCATAATTAATACTCAATACGAATTAATAACTAACAACTACAATATAAAAGATTCGAAACGTAGCTAAGCTAGTACGAATGATCTTCGGAGTAGAAAAAATAGGGCATTTGAGGTCATAGCGACACAAGTGACGATAGTCTTCAAATGGTTTTGTTATACTTGCAGCGTCTTGCTTACGTCTTCAGGTGTAAATTTCGATGTAAATAATGTCGCCAATGTCAGTTTTGCTAAGATCCAGGTCCAGGTAAAATTGCGATTTCATTCACGTATTGTGTAGGTAAAAGGTAATATCCACGTAGATAATAACGAAAAAAGTAATCGAGAAGAGAAAACTACAAGCAAAGTTTGAGGGCAGAGAAAGCCCTAAAAAAATACGTATTAAGAAAAATGCCGAATAAAAATCTTACATGCCTATTACTTGCAAATACAAATCCGCGTTATTCAATAGAGCACAAGCCAGAGCACATCAGAAAGAGAAAGACATATGGTGATAACCAAATACCATGGGTAATCCCTTATTCAGGTAGACACTTAATCAAGTATAGAGTAATCAGAAAAATAATTTGCACGCAATCAATATGATGGCAAGATCTTCACTGAAATAAAGAAATACAGGGAATGCATAAGCACAAAAGAAAAGGATATCACAACCTCTAGCGGCGAAATAAAGAACTATTGTAAAAGAAACACTCGAATGGTCTCTAGCGGCGAAAATACTGAGGTAATAAATCTACTACAGGAATAACTTACATCTACCGCTGTAGAAATATATCCCGCATCCGTACCGCTTCCGCACCCGTGTCCGCATTCCTAGGTCGGTTTGAGTGGACCTTTTATCTGCATCATATTGTTCGACAGTCCTTGAGTTAAAAAATAAAAAAAGCATTTCATACACATAATTAAATAGATTGGAATTTATATTTTTTCAAAGATTAATCTTTGTTTTATTTCCTTTCCAAATGTATCGGTCCATTTGGTTTCTTTGCCTGCTTTGTCTTCTTCGATTGTTTTGGGTTGTTTGATTCTTTAAACTTCTTGAGACTCAGCTTTTCCCCTTTTGCAACTTTTAGGGACTTACAATTTCTTCTGATTTGTTGGGATTTTTTTGTCGAAGTCATGATGTAAAAGATTTTTAAAGCAAATCTTCCTTATTTCATCGTCGAAACCCTTGAATTCTCAAAACTCCTCGGCCATCTCATTGTCTTATTTGCACCGATTTGGTTTTTTTTCTGTTTTGTTTTTCTTCATTATTTTCGGCTTCTTTGGGTTCGTCCTTATTCTTACTCATTCACTTTAGGAGCTCGACTGTTTTACCATTTCGGAATGTTGAGTGTGTTCATCGATATCTT